CTTATGAGCTGTTTTTGTGGTTTCCTTCCAGGGAATCCCCTTCCGGTTCATTCCCAAAACCTTCGGTGATTCCCAGAGAACCAACACGAACCTGACAGAAGGTCCTTTGAAGAGTACTGTAAATTGCTCCGGTAGTTTCCTCAGCTTCCATGTTGGTGGGGGGCAAGGGAATCTCATTTGGGTCTGATGAGTGATCGCATGACACTTGGCATTAGGTCGTATCATCCAGTGTGGACTGACTTTACACGTCGAAAGGATCAATATGATATTGTTGAGGCGAGTGTCGCTCATGAATGTTGGTTGCTAAATGCATCAGTATGTGTGTGTGTGTGTGTGTGCTGTCACGTTCGACATCATAGCCTATTTGCTTAAACAAATCGAGCAGTCTGACTATATTCCGAATCAGTGTTCAGTCCCAGTGACCAGCCAAACGTGTCTTTTCTGATGATTATCTTGTTTATTTGGGTGTGTCTTTCTTAAGGGACCCCTTCCAGAATGGTGGTTGTCCTGTTGGCTTCCTTTAAAACCAACCAGCCGGTGTACCAACTAACAAACACAAGCCACCGGCGAACAATTGAGATTTGGTGTTCATTACCATTTGAATCCAAAAGGCAGGGGAGCACCGGGGTCGCCTTGAACGGAATTCCCGCTTGGTTCCGGGCATTTCCGGGCTGTTGGGTTGGAAAATCTACATTCAAGTTCCGAGAATCAACGGGTTCTTGGGGGAATCGCGCACCCCGAAATCGTTTCTTGGTCTTCTAGTAGGGTATTAGTATGTGTGTCATAATTTTGAAGGGGACCCCGAAATCGTAGCGTCAGTTTCCCTTTTGGTTCCCCCAATCATCTTTGAGCAGCACACCAACAAAAAAAAACAACACACTCGCGCTGCTATGGGCGGTTCACCACACCAAGCCACCAGCTAGGCGACATTTATTTGAAAAGCACCTCCAAGCAAACACCTATGGGTCTGTCGTTTTTGGAGGCTACCCTCCAAAATGAGGGTTCTCCTTTTCCCCACCAAACAACAGGTGCCCGCCCCCCCTACCAGGCCCCACTCGAATACTCGTCCTTTTGCAGGGCTCCTTAAAAGATGCATTTTGCCCATTTGAAACATGGCTTCTTCCACCAAAAAACAGGGAAACCATCATGTACAAGGCAATGCTTCAGGTGAATCATGTAAGGATCCGACCCCCCCCCCCGCCCCGCCCCCGCCCCCGCCCCCACTCGAGTCCTCCGAAGCTTCGGCCAAGAAGGACTGGGCGGTGCCCTATGGCCCCATGGCCCTCGCGGAGGCGGTGCAGCACCAGCCGCTCGGCGCGGAGTCGATGCGGTGCTCGAGTCGGTTTTGCTCGGCTGGCGCGCGCGCGCGCCCAAACTCGGCGGGTTTGGGTTGGTTGACGGGAGGTGGGAAATAAAAGCCTTGGGAAAGCCTCGTGTTTTGTTTGTGATTGTGTTTTGTTTTCTTCAGTGGTTTGTTTGAAGGGAAATGCAGTTGTCACCCAACCGGTTTGAGGCTGGTTTCTTCTCACTGTTTTTGGCAAGTACTGATTTTTGGGAAACCAAAAGGACAACCACCGTGGAGTTCCCCGGTATTTTTACTGATTGTTTGGGGGGAAATGATGTTTATTCACTATTGGCAAGTTTGTGGTTTCTTAAAGGGAAACCAAAAGGAGAACAACCAATTGTTTGTTTTTTGGAGTTGGTACCCCCGTTTTTATTCCCCCCCCTTTTAGGTGGTTGTTGTAAGGGAAACCAAAAGGACAACCAGTTGTTGGAGTTGGCACCCCTTTTGTAGTTTTTTGTTTAAGCGCAGCCAACAGGACAACCACCAGTTAAACGGGTTGTTTGGAGTTTTAGGGGGACACCAAAAGGAAGGCAGTTGCGCCAATCTGGACGGTCTGGATCCCAATATCGACAGCCCATGGGACCAGTCATAGAAACCAGACCGCACCGGACTTTTGCCCAATTACATTTCCAGAGTTTCCCGCATTTAGCTGGTTTCTATGGGACCATGGTGAACGTAGGCACAACTCACGCAAGCAAAGGAGATGACCAAACCAAAATGGCCTGGATTTTGTGCCAACTTCACCCATTTGGATAGGGGACGCTCACAACCAGTTGGTGCAGACAAAAGTTGTGTATTTGTTTGTTTTGCATGGATTTGGTAGACCTTTTCACCTTTTGCGAGGGAACCTCCATAGTCCCTGGAACCCGTTTCAGGTTCCCGGTTTCAGCTTTCCGGGAACGAACACGTTCCCAAGTTTTGGGATGAATTAGTCATAGGAATCCCACTGTATCACACAAGTTTGTTTCACCATGCTTTGGTTTATTTGGGGTTGATGGGAATCCCGCATCACACAAAGTTGTAAACAATGTTTCACCATGCTTTGGGTTATAGGAATGGACGGTGGTTGCGGTTGAATCCTTTCCCTTCAATAGAGGGCACGCTTCGTCCGTTTTCGGCTGCGGCGACCCTTTAGTTGCGGACAAATCTTGCTTGATGGATCCATGCAGATGGCTGCAGCTGCAATGAATGGTTTGCCCGTTTGCCCGGTAGTTTCTGTTATAAAACCACATCAAGCAGTGAGCCTAGAACAAAAGACGCCCAGGCGATGGTGATGGTTTGGTTTCCCTTTACTTTCTTTTTGAAATGCCGGTTTTCAGGGGAACATCCAACACATGGCGGAATCTTCGGCTTTAGGTTGCCAGACAGAAGATCAGAATGAGCGACGTTCCTTTAGTTTCCTGCCCGGAACCGCCGGAAAAAAGAAGCACGAACGCCGAACATGGTCGCATTGTTTTTTTGGTCGGCTTTCGACGGCCAGGTGTTTTTGGCGCCAGGGCAATTTTCCTCATCGGGATTGGGAATAGAACTCTTGGATTCTCACAACTGTGGGACCTCAGGTTTCCCTTTGATCCCAAAGGTGCTGTAATTGGAATTCGTGAGGCATGAGTTTGCTTGCTTTTGTGTTTGTTGTCACGTGATTTGCTTGAGAAAGACTTGTTCGACTTGCTCATGATGCAGGTCCATGCATTGCCCAACAGGAGTCTTATGTTTAGCGGACTGGCATCTATTTGCTACGTACCCTGTTTGTTGAGTAGGTTGTTATATTAATGGTATGCCGTCTACTTTGGATTTGACGCTTTGAGCAACAAGCAACTCGGAAAAAACAAAAAAATGGGGCAGCTGTGAAGGCGCTTCTCCGAACTCCCCGCAACTCCTTCATGCGTGTTTTTTTTGCTGCCAGTTTGTTCTTGCCAAAGTACCCCGGGTGCGCAGTGGCTGTTCTCTTTTGTGTGGGGGGGGGGGGGGGCATTTTGTGATCGCAAGGCCAAAACCTGACACTTTCGATCTTTCAATTATTGAAAGTTGCAGACCGCGAAGGGCGGGGAAGCCACCGGGTGGCTGGTCAGGTTCTGTGGGTGTTCAGGCCCCTGATATTTTGTGTTGGTTTGCGCTGGTGGTTCAATCATACTTGGCTGCGTGTTTGTGTTGGGCTGCGCACCATTCTCAGGCACTCAATTCCAGTTCAGCTTTTCTGGGATGGCAAACCAACCATAGCCCGCCCTGCTGTGGATGATACGTTGTTTGGGATTTATGCTTGATGTATCGGTGTTTTGTAGAGATTTGATGCTTGGGGGGGCCAACGGGCAAGGACAAATGCCAACATCTACTGTCTCGGCATGCACATTCTTTCTCGACCGGAGACATTTCCATGCAACAAGATGATCAACCAAATTGATACATACTCAGCTTCTTTGGACGCCAGTTTAAGATTGTGTCTGGGCACCTTATAGTAGAATTCGTGCGAGTCAACTCAACACAACAGAGCCCACTGTTTGCCAGGCATGATCGCAAGTATTGGTCATGCTCAGTATTTGATGCCAGCGGCTTCCTATTTATCAAAGGTGTGGGGAATGGTCGGGGAAGCCAATTCAGACGTCCACCTCTTCAGTCGGCACCCGGCTGATGCTGAGGCCAGCCCTCCTTTACCAGGGAGCAATCCCGGCGAATTGGGCAGATGGGTTGCTGCGAATTGGGCACGTCTCAAGATCGGCTTTTGGCTCAGAAACTGAGTGTGGCTTTGTTTGAGGCTCGGAACCTTGCTCTTATTTTTTCTTTTTTCTTTTTTTTTTTGGGGGGGGGCAAAGCATCAACAATACTCTTTTTATTTGTTGTTTGTAAGGGACATCAATTTGAGTTCATCCATTTTTGACGGTCCCCTCACTTTGCGGCAGGTGGCGAAGAGAACACATGACGAACTCCTGCGGTCCCCACCAAAGATGGAGGCCCAACCCAACAATCTGCAACAAAATCAAACCAAGCAGCAACCTCACAAAAGAGGCAGGCCAGGGCCCTCAAGGAAGGAGGTGAAAGTTTGATGCAGTTTGCGGCAGCGGCTCCCCGTTAATGTCAGGCCAGCATTCAAACTTCATGGCCATTCCTGGAATTCAGCCACATGCTCTGCAAACATTCCGGGCTCGCCGATTTTTTGAGGGAACGCCTAACGCTTGCGACATCTAGTTTCTGAATCCAAGTAGTGTGAAAAGGCTTACTTGATCTCAGGAGCTATTGAGGTAAGCAAAGCGTCGGAAGCTTGAGGTCGTTTGGCACCCTCAGCACGCAAGGAACGCATGAGTGAGGCAGACATTCGCGGCGCGCAAGTCGGCTGGGATGGAATAAACGGGGGATAAAGGGCCGACAAAGATATCGAAATCCCAGAAAGGGACCCTGGTATATCCTGGTGCCATTTGCGCATATTTGCGCGCTTCAAAAAGCATCAGGATTTCGCCCCATACAACTGGGATGCTTTTGAAAAGGAAACCGCCGAAAGACCCCTGGGCTTGGTAGGAATGGTCATGGACCCCAAAAGGAAACCAAAAGGCAGACCACCATATACTTGGCACTTGCCGAATTTGGAGACCCATGACCCCATTGGCTTTTGGGGGGTTCCGCCAGGTCGCCGGACTACGGGCGACCACTGCTGGAAGCTCAGAGCCTTGATTCAGGGGGGTGTCTCAGAGGGTTTCATGTTAGTGGACAGGAGTTGTGTTTTTCATATCCGCTATATTCTTAGCAGTTTTATGGCAATCAAGGGAAAACAACAGGACACCTCATGGAACGAAGAAACGCAAGTTACGCCAGACATGAAGCAGAGGGCTGGTCCGATTCCCCCCCTAGAAGCTTCAGCGGGCAAGAAGAGGCCGCTTGGTTTCTAATATAGGGGGCCGCAAAGGATGCTGTAGCAAGATCACAATGAGGTTTACCAAGCGCGCCCCAAATCCCATGAGAAGCTTGTTGGAAAATGGGTGGCACCGGACGCCTGAGCCTGAGGCTCTATCAAACCAACCGCTAGCACCGATTTTGCGGTGAGTCACGTGCTCAAATCCCAGGTAAATGGAGGGTGGCAAGGGACAATCCCAGCCATAAATGGATCCGCCTTTTGAGTGCTTTAGATGGTTCTGGGTAGACCATTTAAGACCTGGGTTTGATTGCGACTCACATTGGATGCACTTTTATGAGTCATGGGCGACTCTTGGCCGTTGTAACGGGTCCAATTTGTGCTGAGCCACTCGCCGCTCATGGTGCGGCGTTTCAGTTTCAGCCGGATGGATTTGGTGCCTCTTATGCGTCAGAATAGTTTGGCCCCCAAAAAACCGAAGAAGTTGTTGTCTCTTTAGGCCAGGATGAAAAGGGCCTTGCCTCAACCCAAACAAACGCACACAGACACAAGCACAAACAGACACACACACACACAGCCACACACACACACAGACGCACATCGGAGCACATCGTTGAGGGTCGTTCTACCTCGCTTCAGTCAAGGGGGTAGCGCCTGGATAAAATGTTCGGCGCAATCGAGGCCTGGCTGGAGCAGCATGGCTTGGACGATGAAGCGGTGAGGCTCGCCGAGTAGGGCTGGGCTCGTCCTTTTTGGTGCTGTGATGGCTCATGGCCATCCCGGGCAACCCCATCTTTTGACAATGGCAGAGGAAACTGTTTGTAGACCTGCCGAGCCCCCTTTTTGGTGGGATGGCAATGGCAATTGCATATGGGCCTGCCTTTTTTTTTGGGGGGGGGGGAAGAGGGGCGGGTACTCCCTTTTTGGTGGTAAAGGGAAAGCAACGGGAAAACCGAAATCCAGTTGGGGGGGGTTGATTCCTAAGAAAGACAAGCCACCCACCTTCTGTGGGCAGCTGTGCCTTTTGCCAACTTGTATTTGCAGGGGGAAGCCCTTTCAACTCAGCTACCGAAGCAAGAGGGCCTTTGTTTCCCGTGGCCACCGGGTGTGTGGGGAGCAGAAAGAATTCAAAACCCAGCCAATCAGCACATGGCACTCCTCGGGGGAAAATAAATAACACTAAAGATACCTAAGTGGGATCAACAAGAATCATCATGGGAATACAAAGGAGAATCAACTGGGAGCACTGGGATCATAAACTGCTGGCAAATTCGCATAGGCTCCCAAAAAACACCACCTCATGCTTCCAGGAAAAAAACTCCTCTTGGGGGGACCCCCTTTTTGGGTTCGTGAAAAATGCAGCGCGGCTCTTTGGGTGCGTCTCAATTGTTCGCCATCCGTTTTCGGGGGCTTTTGCCTTTACAGAATTCCAGCCTGTGAACTTCCCAGCCCAGTGGATTCCGCCTTTTTGTTTTCTGTTTTTTTTGTTTTTGGAAGGGTTCCGATTCCTTTAATCTCAACCAAAAAAGGATGCCTTGTTTTTCCCTGGCCACTGGGCATCTGAGTGTTAATAAGCCTTCCTACCAGATCTTGCAGCTTGGCAGGTCAATGACGCCAATTTGCTTGCGCAGTGACAATGACATTGCAAGCAGACATCCATGTAAGATTACATCACTTTGTGTGTTTGCTGGATAAAGTGAGTCGAGCTTTCCCATGACGAAGGTTGCGTACTGGGAGAGTAAGTGATAGTCTGATAATCATGTGTGCGGATACAAAGCTGCTCTGATGTTTTGTTGTCCCTCTGACACGTGTTTCCGTGAGAGGTCCTTCCATGCTTACCACTAGCTGAGTAGCACGGATAGGGCATCAGATCAACTCATCTAGCATCCACGGGCAAGGCTTTCCTGCAGATATCCTTCATGGTGCCTGGCATTCAGGCACAGCCAGGCAAAAAGCAAAAAATCGGAACCCATGGCATCTCTAAAGGGCAACCTCAATGACACGCATACTTAGTTCCGTGCGCAGGGATCTAAGCGCGATCGCAAGCGCCCTCAATGTAGTCATGTGCTATTTTGACAATGGGCATGTGTCATTTTCTTGTCGCAGTGAAGGGGGGGTGTTGGGGGGAGGAGGGGGTGGTGTAAAACCCCATGACATGTCATCCCTGCGATAGGTCCTTTGTGAGGGGCCCCACTGTGCTGGCCTTAGCCGGCCACGCCGTGACCGACGTTTGGCACCTGACGTGTGGAGATTGTGTGTGTGTGTGTCAAGGGGGGCTCAGCTTCTGAGGTTCTGCATTGCGTTCCCTTCTTGCGTCTTTCATGACATCTTTGCCTCGCTCCCCGGGGTCTATGAACTCTACACTTGTTGAGAAAACCATTTTAGTACGGCGACGACAAGTTTGGACTTGGCCAGTTCACTAGGTGTAAGCCTATGAGAGACATGTTTGATATCGGCATCCTTAGGGCTGACGAGGATACCTTGCAGATCTCTGGATTCCGCACACAGGCTGGTAGAAGCACAGGCATGCTGTGCTTTTGTCGATTGCATCAGCATCTGTGACTGAATTAGAACGGCCAGAGGTCTAGATCTGAATGCAAACAGCTACTTTTTGGGTTGCGAATCGGCCGCACGAGGCACCGTCCAATCCAACCAAGCGGAATACATTTACGTGATAGAGACACAGAGAGAGAGAGAGAGAGTGGCCTATTGGGGTCGCCATCCTTTGTTTTCAGGGTGCCCATCAAGAGTATGCACCATCCTTTGGACACTGGCAACATGTACATCGTTCATGTGGCAAGCAGAGCCTCCACCGCAGCTTGACGTGTGATTTGTCAAGCACCGAAGGTTTTGGTTTTTGCCTGCAACTTCCCAAGCAACACATCCGTGGGGTGTGTCCTTACTTTCATGAGAGCGTATGTTTCTGTCACCCAGTCACTTAAAAAACCTCAAACCAGCTAGACTGCAAGACTCAGTGTCACTTCCAAATTCGGCTGCTCTGCTCTGCTCTTGCTGCTGCTGCGTCGTTGCGCTCAGGCGGTTCCCTTCCCCTCGCAGCCCTACCCCTGGATCGAGATCCTGCAGCTAGGAGCAGAACGCAGCTCGATCGCACAGCTCAGGGGGGTCCTCTGGCGCAATCCAAGCCGCGCAAACATCGCAGGCACCTTGTGAGACCCCATTCGGCCTTTTGTTTTCTCTTCAAAACCACCAAAAAGGGGGTACCCCCAAACAAAAAACAGCCTCAAATGCCATTGTCTGGACTATGAGCATGTACACAGACTTCAGGGCAGCAACCAGAGCAACCACCTCGTTTGACTGTTCGGAAGCTCGCTCACGCAAGAAGCTACATGCAACCTTCTGGTTTGGACTTTGTCTCTGCTCTCAAAAAGCCGGTGCCTGGTTTGAACTGCTCTGCCAAGCCTTGTGCAACTCGGACAACTCGTGGGTAGCAACAGAGTCTGACATGTCGGGCATTCAGCTTTCGCCAGGCAATGCAGGTTGACAGGCTAAGATCTGCCGCAGGCAATTTTTGAAAATTGTAACCAACCCAGTCTTTGCAATGTGGAGGCCGGAGATGACAGGGACAACCGCAAGCACGTGCTTGCTACGTTACATGCTTTCGCAATTGCCAAGTTGCTTTCAGGCTACTGGAGCTGCTGGGGTGCTTTCAGCAATCCGACCGATACCCCGTGGGGGAATGCAGGAAGAGCACAGATTTGCCAATCCACGACGCTGGCCACCAACATGTGCCAAGCAGAAACTTCGAACCAAAAAATCATGGAGCCCCAGGCTCGGCAGAGACCAGGCCCAAAGAACCATCAGGACTGAGCCGCTCGATGCGAGAGGCTGCCGGCGCGGATGGAGACAGACTTAAGCAAGCCACAACTTCCACACTGCAGCAGCAGCAGCTGGCGAGAAATTTGAGATGGCACTCTCCTCAATGCCAAAACGCCAAAATAAACTGCTGCATTTGAGAAGAACTCCGTGCCCGACAAATTTCAGCACGTTGCCCTTCATATCATCAACGTTCCATGCGGGCATGAAGCATGTGTATGAACTCAGAGTTGTGGGATATACATATTTGCATGACGTTGATCAGTGCTTGCCGAACGCTTGCGACATATCTAACGCCCATTGCAGAACGTGTGTACGTTGCAGAACTTACTTGTATACACAGGTGTTTGTTGCCGCACACCAAAGCCTGGTTCCTGTGGTCAATGCGTGCTTGAGCACCACAATGAAGTAGTAATACTCGTCAAACAGGCACATCTTGGAATCCCGCAGACTTCCCCCACCGTTGTAACGAAGATGAAACCTGCAAAACTTTTTGTCCTTGAACAGGGTTTGGTCCAGTCAATCGGAGCCACGCTTATGGATGGCTCAATCCCTGAGTTTCTGGACCTGCTTTTTTGGGGACACCAATTTTATTTAGTACAGCAAACAGGTTTCGGACTTCTTTTGGCCAATCGACTTGATCGGAAGTGAGGCAAAGGGATCCTTATCATAATGGGACCTTTTGATGGTTGGTCTCCTCAAACCCTCTTGATCGGAAGTCTTCGATGGATGTTTCCCAGCGCTTTCGCGAGGCCTCGAATCTGCTGCCCAGTGGTTGGAGATAGAGAAGGGCTGGAGCAGAGATCAGGCAGAAGCCGATGTGTTGCGACTGAAGCGGAAGAAGTCACAATTTTTCCGGACATTACTACAATTCTTTGGAATATCGTCTGGTTAGGAAGCAAGTTGCACAGCAGATGGGTGCAAATTCCTCTAGCTGGCAAAAACGCGCAAGTGCAGCTAGAAGTGTTTGCGAAGAGGATGGT